GTAGCTATTGCCCTGATGGCGAGAGCGATACCCGTCATGACGGAAGAAATCCTAGGAACCGACCCGAGCCAGCGCCACGCACTGCCGAGGTTGATCCATGTGACTTGGTAGGACCCCCTATGTTCAGATACCGAATCCGGTCGGCCCCAACGCCCCATAGGTTTCGTGCTCCCCACATTGAAAAATACAATGGTGAGACAGACCCGAAGATTTGGCTGGTAAACTACCAACTCGCCATGAAAGTGGCGTCCGCACTGGACACGTTTTTCATGATTCAGTACCTTTCGATCTACCTCACTGACTCCGCCAGAATCTGGCTAAACAACCTTCGGCAAGGCACGATCAAGCGATGGGCTAACCTCAAAAAGGCATTATGTAATCACTTTGAGGGGGGCTTACACTAAGCCAGGCACCTCATGGGACCTACTGGAATGCAAACACAAGACCGGCGAGAGTCTCTATGATTACATAAAGTGCTTCACACGGTGCAAGAATAAGCTAGAGGATGTCCCCGACGCTAGCATCGTCACCGCCTTCACCGTCGGCGTCAACGGTGAACCCCTCATTCAGGACATTGAGTGAAGGAAGAACATCTATCTTCGTGACATGTTCGCCTTAGCCCACAAGCACGTCGACGGCGAAGATTGCTTTAACGCTAGTAACGGCAAATATAAGTCATGACTCACCGATGACACGAATCAATCCCCACTAACCAAGACGGATCGTAAGCGTTGAGGCGAGCTCGTGGTCAACGCCGAGAAACAAGAAGGCAACAAATTCAAACAAAGCCATGGAGGCCATGCAAAATTCGACAAGATCATGAACCAGACATGTCAAAACCATGGTTTCCTGGTGAATCACTTGGTCAGGGACTGCCATACTTACAAATGTGAGATCATTGAAGCTGGCAAGGACAAGATGAAGGGCAGCCGCTCGAAGAAAGGGAAGGACGGCGCCGTTGAGGACGAAGAAGGCAGCTACCCAACATCAAGGGTGTCATGATCATCTTCGAGGACCCACAGGCCTACAAGGACCACCATCGTGAAAAGGTAACCCGGTGTCTCATCTTTGCCACTACGCCTGTAGTTCTTGTTTATTTAAGATGGTCGGAGCGCCCAATCACCTTCAATTGGGACGACCACCCTGATCATGTCATCGAGGCCGGTTGGTTCCCTCTGGTGGTCAGTGCGGTCGTGGGAGACATAAAGATGACCAAAGTCCTCATGGACGGAGGAAGAGGCATAAACATCCTTTACAAGGATGTGTTCGAGAAGCTGAACATCGAGACAAGCAAACTGCGTCCCCCACATTCTCCGTTCCATAGGATTGTCCCCGGACGACGAGTTATGCCCCTCAGCACGATAACTCTGTCTATCACGTTTGGTGACTAGGTACACTACCGCAAGGAGACACTCTCCTTTGAAGTCATAGACTTCGAGGGTCCTTACCACGCCATCCTCGGGAGACCCTGCTATGCCAAATTCATGGCAATCCCCAATTTTGCCAACCTCAAGCTCGAGATGCTAGGCCCCCGTGGTGTCATCACCGTCACGAGTAGTTTTCAAGACCGCAAGAGGTTGGCTGTTGAACAGGCCCAACAAGACCTAATCTCTGGATGAGTCAAAACATGCTCATGAGGATAAACAAGAGACAGGCTCGGGAATGCCCTCACACTCGCCTCGATCTACAGAGCACTAGCTCACGCCAAAAACCTCGGCCAGCGTTTTACCTCCTGATTCCACGGTTTCTGCTTCACCGGCTACACTGGTGCCACCAGAGGCACTCGACTTGCCCGAAGAAGCAAAACCAAAAGAGGAGAAAGATGACCCAGTCGCCAAGGAGAACCCCGTAACCGGGGCCTAGAGTAGCAATGGTGCAAATTGCAAAAAACGTCAGATCAACCTCGAGCAGAGGAGGGACAAAGATAACAGGGCAAACAACACCAGTGTTGTTAATATGCACTAATTGTTGCTTTCCCACCTTTAAAAAAAATAAATATATATATGGTTGCTATGCATGAAAGGGTTTTACGCCTCAGACAGCTAGGGAAACACTTTCCTAAAGAACAGCATGGAGGCTATGTCCAAATGCTACGCAACATCACCTCCCGAGTAAAGCCACACTGGCCAATCGACACTCGTGCTCGGGGGCTTTGCACTGACATGGCAACGCCAAAATAGTTACAATAATGTGTGTGGTCTTAGCACTCAGACATGTTATACTAACCTGCCCGAGTGCTCGGGGGCTACAATTACAATCACGCAACTACCGGTCTGCAAAGCGAAATTTTATTCAGATAATATTTTACACAAAAAGCAAACCAACAGGACCTGACCTCAATGAGGAGTGTCCTTGATGACTTGCTCTACATTTACAACCACCGCAATGGCACTAGCAACGACACCAAAACCGGCTATTAGCCATCTGACGTCGATATCTTCGGGCACCTCCTTCCACGACGGGAACCCAGGCTCCATCGCATGCAGGTCCACCTCCGGCTGAAGACGAAGGTGAGTGGCAGCAAGGGCTGCTGTGGCCCCATGGCGAACGCCATGTGCCGTCACCTCCCTAATTCATGCTAGGAGGCCAAGAGCCTGCTCGCGAAGGTCTAACCCCATCGGTTGCACCAACCTGAGGTAGGCCTCCACTGCCCTCTCCAGCGCCATGCAGCGGTTGCTATTAATTCGCGCCATGGCTACATTGCCACGCGCCCAATCCATTGAGTTGTCACGTAGACGAGTCACTTCTACCAGTCTGCCGACCAACTCCTCATTGGCACGACAAAGATCCGCCGCTTTAGCTAGGATAGCGCCTAGCTGCCCTTGAATCGTTGAGAAACGCGGAGGTTCAAAGTCAAGACGAGAAGCAATTTTTGCAAAGGAAGCAAAGAAGTTCAACTCACCAGTGAGCTCGGTGCGGGTCACCGCGTTGGCGGCCCTGGTGTCGGCAGCCTCCACGTCCATAGCGTCGAGCGCGGTCTCGGCCGCCGTGAGGCACTCCTTCAGCCGTTCCACCTCCCGACACCCATTCTGGGGGGATTGCCCGGCCATGGATAGCTCCTCTCGTACGGTATGGATGTCGTGCTCGTCTCCTTCGTCCTCCTCATCATCGAAGGAAGAAGGCGAGGCCAGTGGTAGCACGGCCTGCGTTGCCAGGGGACGTGACAGCGATAGGGCCTCTCAGACGGCGGTGGGCCACGGCATCGAGTCCGCCGACGAGAAACCACTACTCCAAGAAATGCATTAGATTCATCCCCGACGAAGTCAATAGCAAGATCTATCCTTACCCGAACCCCATCAAGCCCAGGCGGAAGGCCTGAGCAGAGGGAGGTACACCCCTCTTGGCAGATCCCTCCTCAGGCTCCTCTCGCTGGCGCTTCTCTCTGGCCATGGACGGTAGGCAAGATCTGATGACGACAAGAGATGCAACGAGCGAAGGAAGGTGAGCGTGCAAAGGCTACTATGCAAATATACTAACTCCCCTCCTCTATTCCTCTGTTTTATAGACAGGGGACGCGCACGATCGATGGAATCCAGCAGTCTCCACGGGTGAAAGCGGGAGTTAAGGCCTGGCTATGCCCCCATGATCTCTGAGAGACACAACTTCCGAGATAGACGCGTGGGGAGACGAGTCGCCTAAACCGACGCCTCAGCTTCGTAGAGAAGGAACCCATCCGCGTAATCGCGGACGCCGTGGGACCAAAAGGTCCAAAATCCGACGCACCGTCACCCAAGCCGGTGTAGGCGAGTGATCTGACACTTAGATCGGGTACTTGGCCGGCTTGTGATTCATTCACTATCGACGCTGCCCCTCCAGAGTCAGGGGGTATTCGGGAGGGTCAACAGTCTGATCCTAAAACCTCTGACACTCAGTGTTACGTAAATCTCCCAATGCCCGGACGAGCTTGAAGTACCTTATTTCACCGGATGTGTGCCCCTTTAGGGGAAACCGGAAAAATATTTGGCCCATGGCTGTAACCAAAGTACGAGCTCCTGGAATATGAAATGCCCACCTATTACATCAGATTTGCAAAATTAATGCAATAGCAACCACCTATTGCATCATATTTGCGTTTGATGCAAGGCAAAGCGATGCGATAGGGTCAAAAATTAGTAGTGTCCCAACCAACCCAGGTTCCAAGGCTAACATGTGAATTTCTAATAAATCCCAACTTAGGATTCAAATTTAGACTCAGCATGCAACTAATGGTCCAACTACATTAACTCAACATAAAATTAATGTGGATGCAAGTATGGTTAAGGACACTTGCCTTCAAATTGAGTTTCGTCAGAGATATCAAACTCTTGGCCTTAAAAGTTCTTGAACTCAACACCTTACGTAGACAAACAACAAATATTTCGCTGGTTTGAAACTTGGTTGAAACTGGCTGGTTTTGTGAGAGAAAACACTGTTCGGCTGGTTTGGTGAACAGTAAATTGAGAGAGGGACCAGCCGGCTGGTCTGATTTGTTCAGACCAACGAACGCGCCCATAGCCCACAATACAAATAAGAACATTACACCAAACATTGGGAAAGCGTGCTGCATAATTTACTAACGTGCATTACTCATCGCCAAAAACACATCGGCTCACGGCCAGTTTGTCGGGTTAGAGCTGGAGCCTCTAATTAGTAATAGTAATATTATTTTTTAGTTACAGACCATGTTACTAGGGATGCGTCACCCAGCAGTTTGCTATATAAATGTGTCTTTCTATAGCGGCTGCAAAAACCGTCAATTTGATCTGACAATTCTTTTTTGTTTGTAGCACTACTTCGTGGGATGAACTATTCCTCGACTTGTTTTCTTTTGGAAAATGAAGAAACATGACAAAACTAAACGGAAATTTATTCACCACGGAAACAAATGGGAGCCATGTATACTACATGACTTTCGTTCCAATTAGGTCTGTTTGAATCCATTAGCACTAAAATATAGTAGCTAAAATTAGTACCAGTGGAGCCAAACGGTATAGCTAGTACTTATGTCTAGTCAAAGTGACTTATAATTTGGAACGGATGGAGTATTTGCCATTGTGCAGGCAGTTGTTTGGGGCGCGCAGCACCATCGTCTCAAAGGTAATTCCTGGTCCGAATGCCATCAAGACACCCCACTCGTCGAGGTGGCCGTCGACCACTTGAGAACCATAACCAGGACCAGAACCACCACCCCTGTGTCTATGCTTGCACATCTCGTCGAGCACGAAGATCACGGTGGCGCCGAACATGTTGCCGTATTCACGCAAGACACGTCGGCTTGCGGCCAGCTTGTCGGGCTGGAGCTGGAGCACTGCGTCAATCTGGCGTAGCAGTGCTGCCGTGCCCGGGTGCACAACCCAGAACAGGTCGTTCCAGTTGGGAACATCAATGCCGAGCGGTGAAAACGAGTTCAAGAGGCAGCGCTCCACGTTGCTCCCGACGAGCACCCCGAGATTGTTGTGGACGCTACTGCCGCCGAGGCCGCCACTGGTGAGCTGCATGGTGATGGCATCCTCGGTCTCCGGGATGATGGTTTGTGCGGCAGACATGATCTCCAACAGAGGGCGCTCGGCGGGGCCGGGGTCCGCGCCGACGATGACGGCGCCGGCGCCGTCGCCGAAGTGCCCCTGGTTGATGAGCGTCTGGAAGTGGCCTTCCTCGGGCGCAGCGAACATCATGATGGTGAGCTCGGCGCAGACGACGAGGACGCGCGCGCCGCTGTTGTTCTCGGCCAGGTCCTTGGCGACGCGCAGCGCGGCGGCGCCGGCGAAGCAGCCACTGAGGTAGAGCATGGTTCGGCGCACGGAGGCGCGGAGGCCCAGGAGCTGCACCAGCCGGAAGTCCGCACCTGGGATGTGCGCGCCGGAGTTGGTGGCCACGACGAGGTGCGTGATGTCGGTGGCCGGGCGGCCCCACTCGGCGATCGCCTTGCTCGATGCCGACGCCGCGAGCTCCGGCACCGCGGTCTTGACGATGTCGAGCCGCGCGTCCAGGGACGGCGACGCCCGGTCCAGGAAATCCGGGTGCGCGGCCAGGAGCGCCTCGTCGTGGTGGAAGAAACGCTTCTCCGTGCCTGAATTCTGGCCTGCAGATATATATGAATGAACGGCGATGCGATCTATGAAACGTTACAAACAAATTGAGCTCCATGCATGCTTACATAGTCTTTTGAGCTTCTCTTTGAGCTGGGTGAGGTGCTCGCTCTTGGTGACACCGAAGTAATAGTCAGGGTATGCATCCTGCGATATGCAGGTTTCTGGGTTAGCCGTGCCGATTGCAAGCAGTGTTGCAGGGCCATCCGCACGCTGGGCGCTGCGGATCTCGTGCACGCTGCCTGCAGCACTTGCACTTGTCATGGTTGCACAAGAGAATCCAGTACCTACAAATTTCTTCTATACTAGCAAGGTCAGGTGCCTATATATAACTTGGTAGACGAACGTCAAGTGGCCGGCAGCCTGGCACTCCGTAGGACTGTTTGGATCTACTGGCACTAAAAATTAAATTAGCTAAGTTTTGGATACTAATAGAAGGACTAAACATAAACTAATTATAGACTAATAATAATTGTGAAAGACTAGGAAAGGAAAGTTCAAAAACATGTGCGTATCTGTGTGAGTTCCACATTTCTCCTGCTGCCTACTTTGGTACTAGTGAAAGACTAGGAAAGTTCAAAAACATGTGCTACTGCCTACGACTTCCATACAACATACCAATATATATATATATATATATATATATATATATATATATATATATATATATATATATATATATATATATATATATATATATATATATATATATATATTGGCTGCTATAGTTGATTCTAACATATATATATATATATATATATATATCGTCGGCTACTGCTACATATATATTATTATATACATGGTCTACGGTTTCAGAACACTATTTTAGTACTGTTCTCTGAATCTCTGATGATGAGTCAGTCAAGAGTCTACAGCTCGCCCGCCAGGGACGACCGCTGTCTAGGCTCCAGCATAGATCAGAGGAGCTGTCAAGGATCGATTTGTCAACATGCATGCATGGTTCGGTGCGTATTGTCAGCATGGCCGCTCCCTTGACTAGTCCAAGGATCGACGTTGTGGTGAACTTATGCACATGTCAGTATTCAAGGGTTAGACAAAATAATACCGATATGTCCGACGTTCCTGATATGAATCCTTGGGTATGGCTCGTCGTGGCCGCGGGTTACATTAGGGCGTGCTGGTCTCCACCCTGGTGTCAAAGTTTTTACCCAGGCCCATACACTTGGACCTGCAATGGTTGGCGGCGGCATGGGTCTCCATCGGGCGAGGCGGAGCCCGTGGTCTCAGGGTCGGGCGAGGCGGAGCCTATGGCCTCGGGGTCAGGCGAGGCGGAACACAATCCCAAGGGTCGGGTGAGGCGGAACTCGCGGCCTTGGGGTCGGGCGAGGCGGAGCGTAAACCCAAGGGTCGGGCGAGGCGGAGCCCGCGGCCTTGGGGTCAGGCGAGGCGGAGCCCACCTCCAGAGGCTAGGCGAGGCGGAGCGCAAACCCAAGGGTCGGACGAGGCTTAGCCCACGGCCTTGGAGTCGGGTGAGGTGGAGCCCTCCCCCAGAGGCCGGGTGAGGCGGAGCGCAAACCCAAGGGTCAGGCGAGGCAGAGCGTAAACACAATGTTTGGGCGAGGTGGAGCCCGCATCCTTGGGGTCGGGCGAGGCGGAGCCCTCCCCTAGAGGCTGGGCGAGGCGGAGCGCAAACCCAAGGGTCGGGCGAGGCGGAGCACAAACCCAAGGGTCGGGCAGGGTGAAGCCCGTGGCCTTGGGGTAGGGCGAGGCGGAGCGCAAACTCAAGGGTCGGGCGAGGCGGAGCGTAAACCCAAGGTTCGGACGAGGTGGAGCCTGTGGCCTTGGGGTCGAGTGAGGCGGAGCCCTCCCCTAGAGGCTGGGCGAGGCGGGGCGCAAACCCAAGGGTCGGACGAGGCGGAGCACAAACCCAAGGGTCGAGTGAGGTGAAGCCAGCGGCTTTGGGGTCAGACAAGGCGGAGCGCAAACCCAAGGGTCGGGCGAGGCGGAGCCCGTAGCCTTGGGGTCGGGCGAGGCGGAGCCCGTGGCCTCAGGGTCGGGCGAGGTGGAGTCCTTCCCCAAAGGCTCCCCAGAGGTCAGTCAAGGCGGAGCCCGCGCACCTGGGGGTCGGTTGGAGCCGTAGTCATGCTCTTGACTGTTCAGATGAATTAATGTTTATGACCATTAGCCCCTCCTCTTCGGGTACCCTAGTATTGGTCCCCGACAGTAGCCCCCGAGCCTGAGGAGTAGTAGGATACTCCTTCAGAGGCTTTTCCAAACGGGAGGACTCTGAGGGCCTTGGCCTTCTTTTGTCACCCACAGCGTGACCTGGGGATGGTGATTCCCTTTTGTCGAGGTCATGGCCCTATCGTGACCTTGTTAACGCTGGTGGAGGTGGCGGTGGCCGTGACAGATGGGTCATAGCCGGCTGTAACCGTAGCGGCGCCTAAGGCACCGACGTAACCTGTGCCATCGGCGGACCAAGCAACGGCGCCTGGCGCGGGTCGACCGGAGGGGGACACAGCCGAGGGGTCCCCAGGAGTCGTGGTGCTGGGAGAGAGGTCGGTATCTGCGCCGTTGATCCCTTCCATCGCTAGAGGGGGCATCCCGTCGGGGATGTCATGGCGAGAGGGATCGGCGGCGCTTGGAGCCAGTGGGGAGTCATCCCTAGCCCTAACGTCGATGGGCAGCGGTTCACCCACATGGGGCGAGCCCCTGCTCCGATGGATGAATCCGCAGGATCCGATGTCGACGCTCTTCACCCTTGACGATGTCGCCGAGAGCATGGAGCGGGAGAGCCTCGACATAGGGATCGCGTCCGTGCTCGAGGCCCTGAACCATGCCACGGGCGCGTTGCGCGACATCGTCGTTCCCTCTGGCCAGGTATTGCTTCATCCTGCTTCTTGCCTTTATCTTCCTTTTTCTATTTTTTGTATCCTGATCATCGTCTTCCTACAGTCCCTCATAGCTCGCAGCCGGGGGAAGTCTTGGTTCCTTCATCAACAGAAGGAGACCTGGGACCGCCTCGTCGATGAGGCGCGTCTACGTGGGAAGGTGACCGCTCAGCTTGTTGCCGCCTAGCAGAGGGTGGCCAAGCTGACTCCCCTCACCAAGGAGGCGGCCAATCTTCAGTTGCGAGTGGCCAAGGCCCGTTGGGATGCTGACGAAGCTGAGAAGGCGTTCGAGGCCCTATCGGCGAGGTCGTGGAAGGATGACGAAGAAGCCGCCAGGGTCAGGAAGGAGCGGGATGAGCTGCTCCAGAGAGAACCTGAGACCCGCCAGCGGATCCTTGACCTTATGGGCAAGGTTGAGAAGGAAAGGGATATGAAGCTGTGGGCTGAGGAGAAGCTCGCGGCCCTGGAGAAGAGGGTGAGCCTGGATGCCGCGGTGGTCGCTTGGCTGCGCAAGGAGTGGGACGAGCTGCTCCAAACCACGGAGAGGCTCCGCTCAGAATGCGGCGGTGGCTCACAAGTAGCACGACCAGGCTTTCCAAGAGCATGACCAGGCCTGCCAAGAGCGCGATGATGCGCAGCAGAAGGTCGGATCCCTCCAGGCCGAGCTCGAAAGTGCGACAACCCAGAAGCTAGAGGCTGAGAGCATTTTTGCCAGGCTGGCCGTGGACCTCGCCGAGGTGAGGAGGAATCTATAGGCGGAGAGTGATGAGCTCGGTATCCTGAGCACCGCCCTCGGAGTGGTCTGCGATGACCTTCAGGTGGTGCGGTCGGAAGAGACCAGCTCGCTCGCGCCTCATGCCATCGAGATCACGGCTTGGGTGCGCCAGCTCGAAAGGAGTGCCCTTTGCATCGAGGTCGATCAGTCTTTCGCGATTGCTCATTCTCATTATGGGGACAACCTCGATCTGGAGATGATGAGCCATGGCTATGCGCCTGGCTATGAAGTCAATGAGATGTAGGAGATGGAAGTGGCGGTGGCTCCCCTATCATAGGACCTGACGGACAGGATAGAAGACATAGTTCTCCCCTCGGAGGGGCTAGTTAGTTAGATATATTGGACGATCATTTTTGTAATAATTGGACAAGTTCCGACCCCTGTGTTCTGTTCGAACAAGTCTGTTCTTTTATTTCGGTGTGAACAAGTTTGTTTTTTCTCCCTTTTTATGTGTGAAAAGGGGTTAATGCGTTCCGACCCTTCCATTTGTTAAGACTGTAGAGCTCAGGGCACGGGTGAACAAACTCTGATCACGCTGGTGAGCAAGAGTGCCGTAGCCGCTAGGGCGTAGGTTTCTTGCAGTCCGACCAGCCTTACTCAGTCGTTCATTTCCGCAAACCTTGCCACTAGGTTTTTTAACGTGAGGAAGGGGTCAGGCACGGTGATTGTTTCAGATAGGGTATATATACCCTTATCAGCCCCGAGTGAGACCCAACCCCTTGCCGTTGCTGGGGTCGGGTGTCACTAAAGATCGAGAAGAGGATAGCGAAACTAGCAGGAAAAAGCGTCTCTTGTTTTAGAAATGTTATTCTTAGTTTTCGCGCGTGCCCCCTCCTTAGGATCTGAGCCATCGTTCTGTGATCGCGCATTCGGTCTCCTTGCGAGTCGAAGTTTCCTTGAGCCCCCACGCGTAGCGGGGGTCCGGTCGAGGGTCAGCTCATCTTTGTGATCGTCGCCCCGTCCATGGTTTTCGCAACCAGAGGAGTTGAGCTAACGTCACTTGTCTCGATGGCTCGAGTGACGCGCTCGGTGAGCTTGCTAATGGGCATGTCCGAGTGGAATCTGGGTCCATCGGTCGTGACGGGGTCGGCATAGCCCTTATGTGGCATTCCACTGCTTCTTAACCTGCCTCTCGGCAGATGCCCGAGTTGTTCTAGAGACCGACTCAGGTGGCCTGCTGGCCTCCCCTTGATGGAGATTCTGTGGGCTCGGCTTAAGGTTAGGATCGAACGAGAAGGTCGAGATGACCCTGTCCGCTTCTGAGCGGGTCGGGCAAAGGCCGCTGGGGCTCATCTACGTTTTCTCCCTTGGCTTTGTTCGACGCGAGGCGGCCTCGAGCCCTTCAAGGGCTAGCCCTTGAACCCCG